AAAAAAAAAAAAAAAAAACAGCTGGACATGGTGGCACACGTCTGTAATACCAGCTACTCAGGAGGCTGAGCAGAATTGCTTGGACCCGGGAAGCGGAGGTTGCCATGAGCCGAGATGGCACCACTGCACTTCAGCCTGGGCAACAAGAGGGAAACTCCAACTCAAAACATAATAATAAAAAAAATCACCAGGGAGTGGTGGCGCGCGCCTGTAATCCCACCTACTCAGGAGACTGAGGCAGGAGAATCACTTGAACTCAGGAGGCGGAGGTTGCAGTGAGCCGAGATTACACCACTGAACTCCAGCTTAGAGGACAGAGCAAGACTCGTTTAAAAAAAACCCACACACACACCTTAATAAAGCTGTTAACAAGACTCGGCAAAGGCACACCAACCTAGTTTTGGCCGCTGTGATGAGTTTTCAGGGGAAGCATCTGTGTAAATTTGACAAGTGGAAGGCAAATGTGAAACTTCTGAACAATCTACTTTGGCTGAAACCTGCTGAATAAGTGTGACAAAAATTCAGGATGAATATAATGAACCTTAGAATCGAGCCCCTGGGGCCAGGCGCAGTGGCTCATGCCGTAATCCTAGCACTCTGGGAGACCCAGGCGGGAGGATGACTTGAGGTCAGGAGTTCTAGGCCAGCCTGGGCAACTCGGGAACCCCCATCTCTACTAAAAATACTAAATTTAGCCAGGCGTGGTGGAACTCGCCTGTAATCTCAGCTCTTCAGGAGGCTGGGTCAGGAGAATCCCATGAACCCTGGAAGCCGAGGCTGCAGTAAGCCGAGATCTTGCCACAGCATTCTAGCCTGGGCAACAAAGTGAGACCCCTCTCAATCAATCCATAACAATTGAGCCCGTGGGCAGGGCACGGAGGTTCACGTCTGTAATCCCAGGACTCCGGAAGGCCGGGGCAGGTGGATTGCTTGAGTCCAGGCGTTCAAGACCAACCTGAGTGATATAGTGAAACGCAAAAATTAGCCAAGCATGGTGGCGCACACCTGTAATGCCGGCTACTCAGGAGGCTGAGCTGGGAGAATCACCTGAGCCAGAGAGGTCGAGGCTGCAGTGAGCCAAGATCGCGACACTGCACTCCAACGTGGGCAAGAGTGAGGCCCTGTCTCAAAAAAATAAAATTGAGATTCTGAACGGCAATAATACAGAGCTTCTTACAAGATTGTGTCTAAGAACATGACAATGGATTAAAATGTATCTACATGTACTCAAATGGCAAACTCTTTTACTCTAACCAGTGAAAGACCTGAGTGACTCACCATTTTTTAAGAGTTGTGTCTATGCTGGTCCCAGAACTTACTATAGGTTCTAGAAGTCAAGGCAGGCCCTTGAGCCACCAACAATGTGGCCAACACACTGGTTAGAATTCATTTGAAAGTGCAACCCTATCAAGGGGTTAACGCGCACCGAACAGAGGATGACCCAATACGTAGTACAAAATCCCGAAATAATGTGAAAACAAAAGTGACTGCAAAGGTATCAAAAGAGCACCAATTTCATTAAATTCCTATCCGTTGCCACCCCAATCTCAAGATCCCGAGTCCATCCGGGACTCAAGCCTGAGGCTGCTGTACCTCGCTCTCTTCCGGGCGCTGCCCCGCTGCCACTCACGTGGGAAGCTGACCCCTCCACGGTCTCGAGGCTGGCAAGCCCTAGAACCCGTTCAATTCAACTTTTATTAAGCGCCTGCTGTGTGCAAAGTTCTGAGCACAAAAGACATGAGTACGACCTGGGCCTGGTCTCTGCCCTCCAGAAAAGGACAGCGACCCATTTACGTCCTAGGCCTGCAGTTCCTCCAGTTCCTTCCCGTGCCCTCAACTGGTCAGAGTACAGCCAGAAGCCTTCGTTCGGCCCATGTGTTAAGCGCACACCCACGCTCACGGTGGGTCCCGGCCCCTTGTGTCCCGGCACCCACTGGGGGGTCCGTGACCCACCCGAACCTCGGCTCGGAACGCAGGCGACCCCTCGGCCCGCGTTCCCCAAGCAGCAAGGGTCCCAGACTGAAACTAGCACTAGCTCCTCACCCCCATGCACGCGGCCGGCCCGGCCCACACTTACGGCGTGCAGCGGTCGCTATATTCATTAGCGATAGTCTCGATGCCGCCAGCGCGGGCCACAGCGACGTAGCAGCTCTGGAAGCCCAAGTCTATGCCCACTACCGACATGGCGCCGGCTACTGCTCGGGCTCGGGCCCGGGTCCGGCCGCCGAGACAGGACACGGACCCCGGCGGGGCTAGCGCGTGGAAAGCAGGCCTCTTGGGCCGAGGCTACCGAGGGGAGTGCGGCGTCCACGCGAGCGCCTAGGTCCTCAGAGTGAGTACTGCAACCGAGGGCCGCTCGGGCCGGCTCCGGCTCAGTGGCCGCAGAGGAGGCGCCGGTAGCGGGGGCGGAGAAGATCTCGAAAGATCTCGTTGCGACGAGAGCTTAGCCGAAGCACGAGAACTGCAAAATAACGGGATGTTCTCGCGATAGCCCTTCTCAGACGCTTTTCCCCTTCAGGCCCCGCCCAGGCTACGTAAGAGTACGTTACGTCCTGGCCGGAGAATCTGGGAAGGCACTGGGTGGCTGAAAAAAAGGATGAGAAGCGAAATTACCCTGTCAAGCCTACGCTTGGAACCCCGGAGCTGCACAGCTGCATAGAAATGGGGAGCATCTCCCCTTATCGAAGAAAGTAGGCGAGCCGGCTTGAGTCAATATACTGAGGAAGCGCTCCGGCCTACTTCCGCCGTTTTTCTTAATCTCAAACTTCCGGTGATGGGGTGTCTTGGCTTTCCACCTTCTGTTGGGCCCCCAAAATGAGAGGCCAGCTGATCATCAGATCCCGCAGGGTGCTTTCTGCTCTTCTTGGGGCAGATTGGCCAGTAGGGAAGAAGGCCACCATTGGAACGCGGCCCTCTGCAAGACCTTATGTCGGGCTTTGTCATAGTCTAAGATTGCACCCTCACCGGCGGAGGGAAGAAGCCCACTCACTACCACACCGCCTTGTTTTCTTTCGCTCAGCCTTGTCGCACCGTTCTCTAAGCCACTCGTGTCCTTAGATCATATTGAGGGGCCTGCAAGACGTAAGCCTTTAATCCCCAGCACATTCCAAGCACCTACCCAATAGTAGGCTCTAATCTGGGTGCAAGGAATACAGAGGCAGATGATACAATGCCTGGCCTGGAAGGTTCGCTCAGACCTTTACAAGAAGCTAATAAATCTTAAGCCTAAATGCCCCTCACTTACATGGCCTCCTGGGAGAGCAGTTGCTAAGAGTTATGGAGAGGGGAAGCCAGCTTGAGATTAGGAAGCAAACCTATGTAAGCATTTCTAATAAACTACCTAGAGATCTAAGGAGAATCTGAATCTCCAAGTCCCTAGTAATGTGTTCTGATTTGTCGTTTTAATTATTGGTTTTGTGTATTTTTAAGGCCCCCAAACGGTATATAAGTTTCACCTCTACAGAAACTGGATCATCCCCATTGGGAGGGTGGCTAAACAAGTAAAGGTGACCCCAGTACAGAATGGTGGAGACTAAAACTGCCCAGAAAAGAAACAGGCTGTGTTCAGGTTTGAAAAACTAGCAATAGAGACCATAGTTTGAGGAATAAAAGAAGTCTTCTGTTGTTGGAGGGTCCACCATGAGTTGAAGATCTCAAGGCTAGAGTAGTTGCCCTTCAGCCGTTTTAAAAGTAAATGAGCAAAGAAGAAATTGCATTGCCCTGGTATCCCCTTCCCTTTAAATTCGGGCATTTCCTGCCACCTCAGAAGGTACTTCAGTCTACAGGAGCTACGCCAAAGCCAGGTTCTTTACCGTTAAAACTTGCTAATGGCCACACAGTTCTCACATTTTGCCTAATTAAAACCTGTTTTTTCTTCAAAGACAAGTACCAGGTGCTACCTATGAAAGGGTACTGGGAATAAAAAGAGTGGAGGCAGCAAGGAACAGCCTTTGAAAAAATGAGAGCAGGGACATATTTGTACATTATACACCCATGTTCATAGCTGCTTATTCACAGTAGCTAAAAGGAGGAAACAACTCACATGTCCATTGACAAATGGGTTTTCCAAATTTAGTGTACACACACATCAGTACATTACATAGCCTTGAAAAGGCAAAGGAAGGCCAGGTGTGGTGGCTCACACCTGTAATCCCAGCACTTTGGAAGGCCAAGGTGGGCTGATCATGAGGTCAACAGTTCAAGACAACTCTGGCCAGCATGGTGACACCCCCAACTCTACTAAAAATACAAAAATTATGTCATCACCTTCGACCTTCAACCATGAGCTTTTAGAAAAAAAATTAAAAATACAAAAATTATCTGGGCATGGTGGTGTATGCCTGTAATCCCAGCTACTCGGGAGGCAGAGGCAGGAGAATCGCTTGACCTGGGAAGGCAGAGGTGCAGTGGGCCGAGAGCTCATCACTGCACTCCAGCCTGGTGACAAAGCAAGACTCTGTCTCGAGGGGGGGGAAAAGCTAAGTGAAAAGCCAAACACAAATCAAAAAATTTAATATTTTTTTAAAATATTTTAAAATTTAATAAGGGCTGGGCATGGTGGCTCACGCCTGTAATCCCAGCACTTTGGGAGGCTGAGGTGGGCAGATCACGAGGTCAAGAAATCAAGACCATCCTGGCCAACAGGGTGAAACCCAGTTTCTACTAAAAATACACAAATTAACCAGGCATGGTGGTGCACCTGTAGTCCCAGCTACTCAGTGTAAGGTCTTTTTGGCTGACTGATGATGCCATGGATGCCATGTTAACCTCTGACCTGCACAGACACTCCAGATGAGTTCCTGGAAACTCTGAAGTAACTGGAAGACCATGAAAAGAGAAAGAAATGATCAACCCCTGCTGCACCTGCTTAACTTTGAGACTTTCTCTAATGTTCCTTATTCCTAATTCCTAATTGATAAGGCCATTGGACTTTGTAACCCATCTTTGTCAGCCTCGTGACTCCACATCCTACAACTCCCTCCCAACTTGCAAAACACTGCCCTAAACTGTAACTTTCCGCTGCCCACCCCAAACCTATAAAACCAACTCCTATCCCACTGCCGTTCGCTGACACCCTTTTCAGTCTCAGCCCGCCTGCACCCAGGTAAATAAACTTGCCCACACAGAGCCTATTTGGGGAGTCTCTTCATCCAGCACTCGAGTTTTAACACTTAGGAGACTGAGGCGAGGAGAATTGCTTTAACCCAGGAGGTGGAGGTTGCAGTGAGCAGAGATCGTATCACTGGACTCCAGCCTGGCAACAGAGCAAGACCATCTCAAAAAAAAAAAAGAAAATGTAATACGGTTCCACTTGTATCAGGGACCTAGAATAGACAACTAGATTAAAGACAGAAAAGCGTTTCACAAGTAGAGTGAAATGGAGAGTTTAAGGGATAGAGTTTCGGTTTGGGAAGATAAAGTTCGGGAGGTAGATTCTGGTGATAGTTGTGTGACAAAGTGCATAACTCAGTGACACTGATTTATACATTTAAAATAATTAAAATGATAAATTTTATGTCTATTTTAATTACAATCTTTTAAAGTTTTTTTTTTTTAAGTTAGATTGACCTTGACCTTCCTTCCTCTGACTTTCTCCTACCTAGGGGGATATCAATAATATTAAGCATACTATTGACCTTAATTATGACAGAGTCCTAGCTCCATCTGTTTATCTCAGTGATTAATCACTGAGCAAACAGCCCAGGCTGCCTAGGCTAAAGTGTCCAGTGGACCTAAAAGATCGCTATGTCTGTGTTACTGCCTGTTTCTGCCTTCCTTCTATTGGAAGACCTCCCTAACTCTTAGCTAAGTTGACGAAAAGTACACCCATATCTTACTATGTTCCAACTTCATTCCTCAACTGCCTTGTTTGCCTTGGTACTGCTTTCAGTTTAAAATACCACCAGCCCTATCAATCTTTTTAATGATTTGTCCTTCTCAAAATAAAACATAACTAACATCAGTCACAGAGAGTACTCATCCTGCTATAAATAGTTTCCTGGATCATCAAACTTATAGCTCAAGAGACTATTCTGGGATATTTAAATAAATGAAGTCAGGAAAAGGTTATTTGAGAATCCTGAAGAATCTAAGGTGGCAAGTTTCCAAGAATCACAATTGTGAACCAACAAAGTGTCCAGAATATTTAATGTTGGAGACACTGTGATCGGAGGACAAATTCTTTCATTTGGCAGAGCATCTTAAGTATTTTAGAAGCAGGAAGTTGTTAAATGCCACTCTGGAATACAATGATTAAATTTAGTCCTAAGTAATCACAGGTGTTTTCTGGTTTTTGTTCTTTTTTGTTTGAGACAGTCTCCCTCTGTTGCCCAGGCTGAAGTGCAGTGGAGTGATCTCAGCTCACTGCAACATCTACCTTCTGGGTTCAAGCAATTTTCCTGCCTCAGCTTCCAGAGGAGCTGGGAATAAAGGTGCACACCACCATGCCCAGCTAATTTTTGTATTTTTAGTAGAGACTGGGGTTTCACTGTATTGGCCAGGCTGGTTTCAAACTCCTGCTCTTGTGATCCACCCACCTCACCCTCCCAAAGTGCTAGGATTACAGGCATGAGCCACTCTGCCCAGTCAGGAGGTGTTTGTTTTTAAATATATAGTGTTCATAGGCTGCCCACCAAGAGAAAAAAGTTTCTCCATCAGCTGGGGACTCATATTTTTCCCTGAGAAGTATCCAGTGGACTCCTGCCCTACTCTTTGGAGCAGCTTCTGCAATTTTTTGCTTCACAGGGAAACTACATGCTCAGGTAATGGTGGTTTTCTGGCCTCGCTGATCTTACACTGAGTGGATCAAAGCCTTTAGTCAAAGTAACAACCCTTTCTTAAACTCTAAAACCGATAAGGTTAAGGAACTTGTTCAAATTTACACAACTTTCTCACAGCTACACTGCTGCTCTTTTTCTTTCTTTTTCTTTTAGATGATCTCGTTCTGTCACCCAGCTGAGTTCAGTGGCGCAGTCATAGCTCACTGCAGCCTGGGCCCAAGCAATCCTCCCACCTAGCCTCCTGAGTAGCTAAGACTACAGTCATGGGTTACATGCAGCTTTTTTTTTCTTTTTTGAAGCGAGGATCTTGTTGCCAGGCGCAGTGGTTCACACCTATAATCCCAGCACTTTGGGAGGCCAAGGCGGGTGGATCACCTGAAGTCGAGTTTGAGACCAACCTGGCCAACGTGGCAAAACCCCATCTCTACTAAAAATACAAAAATTGGCTGGATATGCTGTCGAGTGTCAGTAATTCCAGCTACTCAGGAGGCTGGGGCAGGAGAATCACTTGAACCCAGGAGGCAGAGTTTGCAGTGAGCCAAGATGGCACCACCACTTTTTAACCTGGGTGACAGAGCAAGACTCCATCTCAAAAAAAAAAAAAAAAAGAAATGGAGGTCTCACTATGTTGCTCAGGCAGGTCTTGAATTCCTGGCCTCATGCAATTCTCCTACCCCAGCCTCCTAAACTGTGTTTCACAGGACAGTGTTTGTTCTAGGAGATGTCAGTGGATTAATATTACCATTTCTAAGGCTCTGAGAAGTCCTGCAGAAAACCTCTTTAACTTTGTGTAAACATAAATACAAATTGAAATATAAGAAATAATGGGGCCCGGGCTTGGTGTCACACACCCGTAATCCCAGAGCTTTGGGTGGCCGAGGCGGGCAGATCATGAGGTCAGGAATTCAAGACCAGCCTGGGCAACATGGTAAAACCCCGTCTCTGCTAAAAATACAAAAATTAGCTGGGCGTGGTAACGCGTGCCTGACCCAGCTACTTGGGAGGCTGAGGCAGAAGAATTGCTTGAACTCAGGAGGTGGAGGTTGCAGTGAGCCGAGATCATGCCACTACACTCCAGCCTGGGTGACAGAGCAAGACTCCATTTCAAAAAAAAGAAATACTGGGTTAACAAGTAGAAGAACATAGTTTAGTCTCCTTTTTTCACTCCAGCATTTTTCTTTTGCTTTTTTTTTTTTAATTTTATTGCATTTTAGGTTTTGAGGTACATGTGAAGAACATGCAAGATTGTTGCATATGTACACACGTAGCAGTGTGATTTGCTGCCTTCCTCCCCATCACCTATATCTGGCATTTCTCCCCATGCTATCTCTCCCCAACTCCCCAACCCCCACTGTCCCTCCCCTCTTTCCCCCCAACAGGCCCCAGTGTGTAGTGTTCCCCTCCCTGTGTCCATGTGTTCTCATTGAAGTCTTGCTCTGTCACCTAGGCTGGGGTGCAGTGGCGTGACCTTGGCTCGCTGTAAGCTTTGTCTCCCAAGTTCAAGCAATTCTGCCTCAGCCTCCTGAGTAGCTGGGATTACAGGTGCTCACCACCATGCCTGGCTAATTTTCGTATTTTT